GCTTCTACCAACGGAGAGACAAGCAAAGGCAAGTTTTGGAGGGAAATATGGGCTGTTTTAACTCTCTACTAGCTGGAGGACCTCCTTCTTGTTTCAAAGGCACGTCGCTAAGAGTCTGCCTGAATCGCTCCAGGGCGAAAAATCTGTTTATGGACAGGCTCGTGGCAGATCATCTTATCCATGCAAATTAAAGGCAGGTAAGAGTGTGTGAGGTCTGTGCCAATACAGCATATGCAGATAAGTTCAGGCATGATTGAAGCATCATCTGCCTCAGATATAAATCAGCTCAAACCATGGAGTGAGAGACTTGAGATCCAGCCTCTGCTCATTTCATAATGAGCTTGAAAAATAATCCTTTTTAGACTGGAGATCCCAGAATTCCCCCAGCCAATCTTCCCCTCTTTTCTTTTATGGAGGAGTGTTCAGTATTTTGAAGCTCCCACCAGCTGAAGCAATACAGCCTACCAGAGCTTGGGAGAGCTTGTTGTTGTTGTTATTGCGTGCCTTCAAGTCATTTCCAACTTTATGGTGACGCTAAGCGACCCTATCATAGGGTTTTCTTGGCAGGTTTCTTCAGAGGGGGGCTGCCATGGCCATCCTCTGAGGCTGAGAGACTGTGACTTGCCCAAGGTCACCTAGCAGTTTTACATAGCTGAGCCAAGATTTGAATCCTGGTCTGCTCCCATGCTCAAACCACTACAGCATGCTGACTCTTGGAAGAGCTATGTGCTGAAAAACAACTCCCAGAAACCCTCAGCCAACACAGCTAAGGATTCACAAGATCCCGTGTGGCCAGGCTGGCTGAAAGAATCTGAAGTTTTAGTCCAAGAAATGCAATATTTTTCAGTGATTCCCAAATTTTGGTTCACCAGATATTTGGGACTTCAGCTACCAGATTTCCTGACTGTTGGCCAAGCTGGCTGGGGCTTCTGTGAGTTGAAGTCCAAAACATCTGGAGGACCAAAGTTTGGGAATCACTGTGATCTAGCCCATAAATTCTGTTTATAATCTGGACATGTATCTGACTTTATGAAAGGCAGATTCTCCTTGAAGAAACATCAGAAAATGTTCTCCTATCCTTTCCACTTTTGGGCTGAAGACCAAGAACCATAAGAAAGCCCAAGCAGAGTCCTTGAAGCTGTCCATCAGCAGTTAGCACAGTCATTCCTGGCCTGATATATCTCTATTTAAATTACAGTAATTATAGCAATTATACTCATTAATCATATAGGCCTTCCTTGCAAACAGGCAAATTAAATTACTGCATTCCTTTGCTGCCTGAAAGGGTGGAGAAGGGGAGAGGTCACTTCTTCAAACATCTCCTTCCCCAAGGGGCGAGCAACTGTCAGGGTTATAGGAAACATCAGTGCTATGCAAAATCCTAGGGTGCATCTACACCAGGAGTAGGCAACCTTTCCCCTTTAAGGGCCGAGGGACTTCAGCTCCCAGAAGCCTCAGCCATGTTGGCCAATAGTCCCATGTTGGCCAATAGCTCTTGGGATTCTGGGAGCTGAAGTCCCTTGACCCTTAAAGGGGAAAGGTTGCCTACCCCTGATCTACACTGTAGAAATAATGCTGTTTGACACCACTTTAAGTGCTGTCGCACCAATCTATGGAATCTTGGAATTTGTAGTTTTACAAGGACTTTCTCTGACAAAGAATGCTGGTGCCTCACAAAACTACAAATCTCAGCATTCTGTAGGATGGAGCCATGACGGTTAAAATGGTGTCAAATTGCATTATTTCTATAGTGTAGATACATCCCTGGAGTAACCCACAACCCATTTATCCTACAGATGTACACCCCTATAAACATAAGCATCCCATTTTTCTCCCCAAAACAGTCATGATGACCCTCTTTTGCTTTTTTAAAAAAGGTTTTTCCGGTCCCTTTTTCTATTTCTGACTAAAAAGAAGCTTGTTTCCATTCAGGCTATTTCCTATCTTATCGTGCCCATGAAAGGATGATGTCTCCCAAATGAAGCAAAATGAGAGGCTCCAAAAGTACTCACATGTTGTTGCATACCTTCCAACATTTCACAGATAAAAACCAGGACATGCATGGCCAAGCAACGTCAGAGTATGGTTAAAATGGCAAAAGTTATCAGTGTGGAAGAAAACACAAGCTAGGAGAGACTGCAGCAATTTACTCTTGCCTGTGCCTACTGGGAAGGGCAAGATTCCACCCCTCCTCTCCTTTCCATCCACTGAGTTAACTATATGAAAACTACTTTTGCATTTTGAAGTTTGCAGCAATTGATGTAAGATGAAAACAAAGGGAGAAATGGGGACATTTTAAAAGCAGGTGAAAAGTGGGATGAAAGAGAATTAATTGGGACTGTCCCTTCCAAATGGGGACAGTTGGAGGGTATGGAACCCTGGAGAGCTACACAGCGACCGACCCAGGTCTTTTTGCAGGCTTTTCCCATGTCCTCTCCCATTTCAGACTCATAGGGGCCTTTTTCCCCCAAGAAAGAAATTAGTGGACAGTGAGTTCCTGTTTGGGAAAAAAGTCTGTTGTATTTTGGTACAATTCCCCCCTCCCATGAAACAAAATGGCTTATAGCACCTCCTGGAATTCCCGTATCTAGGATCAAATAGTGACCAGTATAGTGACTGCAGTGAAGTAATCAGAAGAAGGTTAAGAATGGGAAAGGCAGCCATGAAAGAACTGAAGAAGATCCTGAAGAGTAAAAACATACAACTGAGTACTAAAGTTAGAATCGTCCAAGGCATTGTATTTCCCATTATCGTGTATGGATGTGAGACAGTGAAGGAGGAAGATCAACTCATTTGAAATGTGGTGCTGGAGAATTGTGTTGAGGATACCAGTGATGTAGACATGCATCAATTGACTTGGACTTAAGTTGGACTCACGGCAGTCAAGAAATAAGAAGACTAGGAATGGGTAGGGCAGCCATGAAAGAGCTGGAAAATCCTAAAGAGTAAAGATATACAACTGAACACTAAAGTTAGAATCATAGAAGCCATTGTATTTTCCATTACCATGTATGGATGTGAGAGGTGGACAGTGAAGAAAACGGATAAGAAGAAAATCAACTCATTTGAGATGTGGTTCTGGAGAAGAATGCTGAAGATACCAGTGATGCAGACTTGAATCAATTGATTTGGACTAAGGAGACTATTGCACTAGTTTATAAACTGGCATACCTGAGCTGGCTTAAAATTAGAAGTGGTCGGCATCCTGATAGCTGTTCCAAGGGGCGCTCCTTGTGCCTCTTTTAGAAGCCAGGAGTTTCCGGCTTGAAAAAATGGCTGCCGGAGTGCCCCTCTGAGTGGTGATGGAGCCGGGCTGCAGCCAGGCAGTGATTTTGGCAGCTAAATGTGTCTGATACTATCAGGATGACAACTGCTTCTAATTTTAAGCTGACTCAGTTAAGTGGTTGTATAAACTAATGTGATAATCTTCTTAAATTGAACTCTTCTTTTTAAATTGAACTCTTCTTCTTAAATTGAACACAAGTTCCTTCAGTGACTTGACTTGGATTCAACTTGGCAAAAATGCTACACCGTCTCAACTTGACTTGAGAGTTGTATATTTTTGGTGACTGATCCTTCTAGTGCCATTCACTTCAAGCAGGAGGCAAGACCTCCCCCAAAGTGTGAGGTGCATTTCTCGGAAGGGAACAGCAAATGCATTGGGCAATGGGCTTGAAGTGAAAGGATCGTTCTGAAGCTTTTGAAAAGCTTTAGAAGGCTCCTCTGATGTGTAGCAGGGACAGGCTACTGAGCAGATCTCAAGTCCTGCCTCAAGCCCATTGCGTAGCTCACTAGCTGTTCTGTTTGAGAAACGGACCTCCCTTTTTTCTGTTAAAAATTGGCTCCCAGCTTTGAGGCTTGACTTGAAAGTATCTTGCAAAGACTTGAGACTTGACTTAAGACTTAGGGGAGAAGCACACGAGAGCTTCCCAGACGCCGCCGGACGGAGCGCCGCGGGACCGCAGCCTCCGCACCGCGGCGCTCCTGCGGCATCCCTAAAAGGAGCTCCAAATTGCTGCTCCTTTTAGAAGACAGGGAAAGTGTGTCCTAAACGCGTAGGGCGCACTTTCCCTGTCTTTTCCACCGCAGCGTGTGAGGACGCTGTGGCGGGAGGTTGTCCCCGGAGCGCCGGCCATGCGGAGGGCCGGCAGCTCCGAGGGCAACCTCGGGAAGAGGAAGGGGCGCCGCGCGTGCGGCTGCCCCTCCTCTTCCAGGGCTCGGAGACGACTCTATTAGTCGTCTACCGAGGCCCTTAAAGATAGAGACTTGAGACTTGACTTGAGAATTGGTCTAAAAGACTTGAATACATCATTGGAGGTTACTTTGGACAGCCAAAAAGACAAACAAATGGGTCCTTGAACAGATCAAGCCTGAAATCTCCCTGGAAGCCAAGATGATGAAACTGAGGCTGTCATACTTTGGTCATATCATGAGGAGGCACAACTCATTAGAAAAGACAATAATGCTAGGAAAGGTAGAAGGTAGTGAAATGCCAGATGGATGGACTCAACCAGGGGGTCACGGGTATGGGTTTGCAGGATCTAAGCAGAGATGTGGAAGATAGGGGATCTTGGAAATGTCTCCTTCACAAGGGTCATCATGAGTCACAAATGCAGGAGGGGCCCTTAAAAAAATGGCAAAATCAAGGTTTGCTTTTTTGAAATATATATATATATATATATATATATATATATATATATATATATATATTTCCAAACTTAAGTGGTTGAATACACAGATGCAAAATCCATGGATGTGGAGGGCCAACTATATAACTGTATCTGAAGTCCTGTTGCTTAATGCTAGTAGAAGAGGCCCATTGCTTCAGCTGTTGAATGGTAGTCAACACACCAATAAATTGATTGTCTAGTCCTACCCTAGCCAGACAGGAATAATAATAAAATTTAGGCCATTAGATAGGACTATTGGGCCTCTGGTGTTGAACAGATACTACAATGTAGTGGTTGCAGGGTTTAAGTTTATATAGAGGATCTTGGAGAGCCAGCATGGCATAGTGGTTTGAGTGTTGGATGAAGACTCTGGAGACCTGGGTTCAAGTCCCCACTCTGCCATGAAAACCAGTGGGTGACCTTGGGCAAATCACATACTCTCAGCCTCATGGGACATCAATGGCAAACCTCCTCTGAATAAATCCTGCCAGGAAAACCCCTGGGGTTTCCTTGGAGGTACCATAAGTCAGAAAAGACTTGAAGGAAAACAACAACAGAGAACCCAGAGGTGCCAGTCCTGGTCCAGACATTGGTTTGTCAGAGTAAAAACTGGAGAAGGCTCCTGTACCTTTACTACCTGTAAAAGAGGGAATTTCAGCAGATACTGCTTGTTACCTGATAAGCAACACCTGCTTAAATTCCCACTTCTATACAATTAAAGACACAGGAGTCCTCTCCAGTTTTCAGTATGGCAACCTTACATAAAACTCTATTGGGTGGCCTTGAGCAAGTCCTTGTCCCAATTGCTGTGCATTTAAAATTGAATAGCTCTCTGTATGCCACACACACACACACACATGCCAGGTTACTAGGTGCAAGAATGGAGTACAAGTTTAGTAAATAAATGTTTTAATTTTGCCCCAGGCCTCAGAAAACCTCTGGGCGGCCCTGACGAAAAGGATGTTTACAAAGGGTTTCACTGCCCTCGGGCAGACTCATTCTGTCAGAGTGAGTCACCATGTCCCAATTCGTGAGCAATAAATTTCTTCCATATATCAACTAGGAAGAAGGGAAGAAAACATAAAGAGATCAGCCAGATGTCCAAGTCTTGTTTTATGTAACCCACAGGAGCCATGTGACTCCCGCAGTGTAACTGAAACTTCCTAATCAAATATACTAAAACCACCTCCCAGGTCCCATCCGACAGCTGTGCCTTAATGGTGTTTGCGAGGCTATATAATGCTAGCCAGGTGCGTGATGCCAAGTAACCTCAGCTGAACACCAAACAGAATAGGATCGGATCTGAATCTAAGAACAGAAGGTGACCTGTGCTAGATGACACCAAAGGTCTGTCAGATGCAACACTGAGGTACTCACAAAAAGACCACAAGGAAAACACAAGAATAATTGTATATCCTTTCCTACTTTTGCTGACTTTTCCTGGCTAGGTAGAGACATCCAATATTTTGTTGTTGTTGTGTGCCTTCAGGTCATTTCCATCTTATGGTGATCCTATCATGGGGTTTACTAGGCAAGATTTATTCAGAGGGGGTTTGCCATTGCCATCCACTGAGGCTGAGAGAGTATGACTTGCCCACAGTCACCCAGTGGGTTTTGTGGCTGAGCCGGGAATTGAACCCTGGTCTACAGAATCATAGTCCAACACTCAAAGCATTATGCCATGCTCCCTTTCAATATGGGGTTTCCATATAATTATAGCTTCCAAAAATCACATTTAGGGACTTTCCCATTGAGTTGTAGCCCTTCCCCATAGACAACATGGTCTTTTGTAGAGTTTCTCACTAGAGCTCATAAAGGTTACTCTCTTTGATTACAGAGTACCAAGAGTACCCAGCCAGTGCTAGATGACTTCTATGAGCTCTGGTTATGAATAAGAGGCATTGAAAGAAGATAGTTGTTGTTATGAGCCTTCAAATGGACTCCAATGTATGATGATACAGTGGGTCCTTGGTATTTGCTGCAATTTGGTTCTGGGACCCTCTGCAGATACCAAAATCCATGGGTGCTCAAGTCCTATTAAACGCAATGGCATAGTAAAATTGTGTCCCTTATACAAAACGGCAAAACTAAGGTTTACATTTTTTTGCAAAATATTTTCAAACTGTGGGTGCAGATACCATAGATACAGAGGGTGAACTGTACTTTCCTAGGGTGTTCTTGGCAAGATTTCCTCAGAAAAGATTTACCATTGCCCCCTGCTGAGGCTGAGAGAGTATGATTTGCCTAGGGCCACCAAGTGAGTTTCCATGGTTGAGTGGAGATTCGAACCCTGGACTACCTGGACTCCTAGTCCAGCACTCAATCCACTATACCACACCAGCTCCCTGCTGAAAGATATAGACATGAATTTGTCTATGCCTATTTGAAAGTCATCTAAACCAGGGGCCAACCTCAACATCTTGTGGCATGCCACCTCTGGTCTTTTTATGCATAGTGTGAGAAACACAGGCAGACATATTTTATTATATGGATTTTTATGCCCCAAATCTGTTAATTGCTCTGGGTTACCTGGGTTTCTCATATTATAAGATGGGGGGGGGGCATTCTTTCTGCCTACATTTCTCACACTATGCATAATTTTACAAACCATTCTCAGGTTACCCAGAAGAACCTTCGTTGTTTTTAGTTGGACTGCTGCAGATGAGAACTGAGAACCAGTGTGCTGTAGTGACTGGCATGTTTCCTATCCAGAGATTCAAAAAGGCCAGAAGTGGCACCTCAAAAGAGAGAGAAGGGATTGGTGCTTGTTTTAGGTGTCATATCGAGGAGGGAACAAGCTTGTTTTCTGCTGCTCCAGAG